TGTTTTAATGAGATTGGAAAAGTCTTGGAAGAGAGTGACAGATTGAAAAGCTTTGTTAAAGGTTTCGCAAGAACTGTAGCACAATCGTGTAGCAAAAATGCAGGAATTTTATCAGGGCTCATTGTATTTCTTGGTTTCAGCTTCTTTAAAGCGAATGCCACTTCTTTTTCAGAGAAGTTTTTGATTCTGAGGCAATCATCACCTAGATCTTGCAGGTGCCGCCCACCTGTGAGCCTAGCTTCTTTAGGTGTTCTTTGAGGCAGCAATGCCCTGTTAGACCGTTATTGCTTTGAGACTTCCTTTGCTGAGGTTCATCAGTGTGATAGATCTTTCTCGGTTGATATTTCCTTGGAGATCACGTTTCATTACGACACTAGAATCACACCGCCTCTGCGGCCCCTCTACTGGTTCCGAAAGTATCTTCAGTGCGATGCAGGATATTACGGTATTTTCTACTAGGCCGTACTTGTGCCTGTGATTCTGGACAAGTTTTGACTACGACACTAGAATCACACCGCCCCTCTACTGATTCCAGAAGTATCTTCAGTCCGGTGTAGGATATTTTGGTATTTCCTATTTGGCCGTACTTGTGCCTGTGATTCTAAACACGTTTCATTACGACACTAGAATCACATCGCCTCCGCCGCCTCTCTAGTGATTCCAGAATCATCTCAAGTCCTGTTTGGGATATTTTGGTATTATCTACTAGGACTTTTTCATGTTTTTGTGACGTTCTTTATTTCTGAGGCACTGAGTTTGGCGCTCTGTTCAGGACGGAGACTACTCTGGTATTTGATTTGAGGGGGGGGGGGGTTCGGGCACCAGATTGAGGTCGTTTACTCTACCTGCTGTGCGCAAAGTAGCTGTTATATTATTGTTGTTATATTATTCCGAGTGGGTCAGTAATATAGTTTTGGTTAAACGAAATGACAAATTGAGAATATGCATCGACCCATCAGACCTCAATAAAGCCCTGAAAGACGTGAAATATCAGATGCCAAAGATTGAAGAAATATTACCAGAGTTGCAAGACGCTAAAGTTTTCTCAACATTCGATGCTAAAAACGGGTTTTGGCAACTTGTCTTGGACGAAGAGAGCAGCAAAATGACTACATTTCGGACTCCATTTGGAAGATATAGATGGTTGAGATCACCTTTCGGAGTGAAACCAGCAATGGAGATCTATCAAAAGAGACAGCACGAAGTCTTACAAGGATTGAAAGGAGTAGAAGTGATGGCCGATGACATCATTGTATTTGGAAGAGGCGGGAATACAGAAGAAGCAATAAAAAATCATAATGATAATTTGAAGTTGATGTTAGAAAGATTACGTAGAGTGAACATGAAACTGAACAAAACTAAAATCAAATTATGTGAGACAAAAGTCAAATATTTTGGACATTTACTCACAGACAAAGGAATAAAACCAGACCCATCCAAAATTACTTCAATAAAAGAAATGAAAAACCCTGAGAATATAGATGAACTGAAGAGACTTTTAGGAATGGTGTCTTATCTCAGTAAATTCATTCCGAATTTTTCAAATGAAGTAGAGAACCTGAGAAAACTGGCAAATGGCGACAAATTTGAGTGGAATGAAATACATGAAAATGAGGTTTAGCTGATAAAAGATGGGTTGTCTTCAGAAACAAACTTGAAAAATTTTGACACCTCAAAAAATGTGACAATTCAAACAGATTCGTCATCTTTCGCACTTGGATGTACTTTGATGCAAGATGGACAACTAGTTTCCTATGCCTCCCGCGTTCTGACAAAAACTGAAATCAACTATGCTCAAATAGAGGAGGAAACTTTAGCAATAGTATTCGCCTGCAACAAATTCGACCAATACATTGTTGGTAAACATAATGTCATAATTGAAACTGATCACCAGCCCTTGTTAACTATTTTTAAAAAATCACTTTACAATGCTCCTAGGAGAATACAGAAAATGTTAATGAACCTACAGAGATATTATTATATAAGTCTGAAGTATAAAAAAGGGAAAGAAATGTATGTTGCAGATACGCTATCGCGACTTACAAAAGATGATAAGATCTATGAAGTTTATTCCTGTGAAGCAGTTAAAGAGTTTGCTGATTTGAATCAATTAGAATTCATGAAAATATCTGACAAAACGATAATTGATTTACAAGGAGAAACCTCAAAAGATACCGAACTATGTGAACTATTGGATGTAATTTCAAAAGGATGGCCGGAAGACAAGACAAAACTAAATCCATCTCTGCTCAAATACTGGAAATATAGAGAAGAGTTAACTATTTATGATGGTTTGATTCTGAAACAAAATCGTATCCTTGTTCCCAGGACCATTAGGCGCGAATTGTTAAAGAAACTGCACTCAAGCCATCAAGGTATAGAGGCTACAATGAAATTGGCAAGAGACACAATATTCTGGCCAGATATATCTGCTGAAATTAAGGAGTTGGTAACATCATGTCAAAATTGCATGAAATATTCGAAAAATCAACTAAATCCAGAAATGCATTCTCATACAGTTCCTACACTCCCATACGAAGTCATAAATATGGATGTTATGGAAGTAGAAATGAATAGCCAGAAAATTAAATATTTAATAACGGTTGACCAATATTCTGATTTTTTTGATATAGATAGGTTGAAAGATCTGTCAGCAGAAACAACGATCGATATCTGTAGACGAAACTTCGCATTACATAGGATTCCTTCGGTTTGTATTACTGACAATGGTACAAATTTCGTAAACAAAGATTTTGAAAAATTCTCGAAAGAATGGAATTCTACTCATAAAATGTCAAGCCCTCATCATCAACAGGGAAATGGAAAGGCAGAAGCAGCTGTCAAGATTGCGAAGCAACTCATAAAGAAGAGCCAAGAAGATGATGGCGATTTTTATAAAGCACCGTCAAATGGGGTGACTTTGATTTTATGGGGGGACTTTGATGAAGAGTAAGATTTCTCTAAATCAGTTCATATCTCCCGCAATTATAATCCGCCGACAACCGCGCGATCTTCAGTCGAAAGAGTGAAGTTTCGCCATCATTGTGTCGTGTTAACGTACTGGTAAGTAGTAGCTGTAATATTTTTGTAAATATTCTGTTAGAATACTTCAAACTGGCGTTAATTTTACAGTCTTCAAAATTATGGAATATATCATCATTATTTACAATTGATTCAATAATATCGGCTATTTACGATTGTGTGCATTCTACTTAACCTCACTTCGTGTAGAAGTCAACAAAAAACACGTTTGTTTGAAAATCATTACTGAATATATAATATGGGGTCACTTTGATAGCTCTTACGGGGTGTGATTGATAATTATCAAAGTCGCCCCATAGTTCATCAACAATAACATTTTCGCGATTTTCTATTGTTTGCTTTGGTATAGACCAATAATTTTTTTTTAATTCAGGTCAGCTCGATCAATAAAGTGAGTAAGAACCTACAAACAATGGGCCGTATCTATAAACGTAAAGTTGGGAGCAGAAGTTATAAGAACTACAGCGATACAGATATAGATAAAGCATTAAAAAAAATAGTTGATTCAAACTGGTCTATCAACAAAGCATCCAAAGAATTCAAGATTCCTTACGGAACCTTATTTCATAAATATAAAGGCATGCATGTGAGGTCACATGGAGGACAACCTGTTTTTACCAAGCAAGAGGAAGATGCAATAATTCGGTGTGTAGTAACTTGCAGTGACTGGGGGTTTCCGCTTTGTATAGAAGATCTACAAATGGTTACAAAATCTTTCTTAGATAGGCAAGGACGACAGGTTACTCGTTTCAAGAATAATATTCCCGGTCGCGACTGGGTTTATTCACTTATTAAAAGACATCAGGCTAGTCTAACACAGCGCCTAGCAGCTAATATAAAACGTGCACGTGCTAGCGTTTCTCCTGAAGTAATTCGGCAATATTTTGAAAATTTGCGAGTAAGCATTGCCAATGTGCCTCCGTCAAATTTGTTCAATTACGATGAAACAAACATGTCCGACGATCCTGGGAAAAAAAAGTGGCTATATCGCAGAGGTAAAAAATACCCTGAAAATGTTATCAACCATTCAAAATCAGCCATTTCCATCATGTTTTGTGGGTCAGCTTCAGGTGTTCTCCTACCTCCCTACGTAATTTACAAATCTGAACATCTATGGGACCGCTGGACCGAAAAAGGTCCCAAAGGACATCCTTGTTGTGAGGATCGTTGTTGTAGCTCTGGATCAAGATTCAACAGAACGAAAAGTGGTTGGATCGAAGCCAGCTGCTTTACTGATTGGTTTAGGAGCACTTTTTTACCACACGCCAATAATTTGACAGGAAAGAAGGTTCTAATTGGCGACAATTTGTCGTCACACTTCACTGATGAAGTTTTGGAGTTGTGTAACCAAAATAACATTGCATTTTTATGCCTCCCTCCAAATTCTACTCACCTGACACAACCTCTCGACGTTAGCTTCTTTAGGCCCTTGAAGACTGCATGGAGATCAGTATTATTGGGGTGGAAAATGCAAAATCCAAAACTAGCTTCTTTAAAGAAAGAAATATTTCCGCAACTTATGCAGCTTACTTTAGAAAAAATGAATTCCTCTGGATCTCACTCACCTCAAGCAATAAACCACGATTTGAGGTCTGGATTCGAAGCCACGGGAATTCATCCACTGAACCCTGATAAAATCTTGAATAAAATTCCGAACTTCGATGATAATGGAGATCGATTTGGGACAGATTTTGGAGATAACCTCGTGTCCTATTTGAAAGAAAAACGTTACAACAGCACTCCTATTCGAAACCCGTCACGAAAAAAGAAGAGGTTAACTGTGGAAGCCGGAAAAAGTGTTGCGTGTCCAACAAATGAATCAGACGAGAGTGAGGAAATGAATCGTATTTCCGAAGAACTGTCGGATGAGCAGGAAGACGCAAACTCCGACGTTGCTGATGAAGTAGATTATTTACCCACTGACCCTAAGGATATTGTGCCTGGTACATTCATTCTAGTAAAAGTGTTATCTGGAAACCGAAATTCTACCAAGTATAGATACGTTGCCAAGGTTGAAGGGCAGATAGACGAGAATGACTACAATGTCTTGGGGTTGAAATCATTAGACACCACAAAGATGGCTTTCAAAATTGTTCCTAACGACTCGTTTACGGTGAGCTTGGAAGACATCATAGCCATTCTAGAAGCTCCGGCAAGTACATCTGGAGGACGCGGAACAAGATATGTATTCTCGAAATCGGTTGATGTTTTTGAACGTTAAATTTTTGTTACCTACCTACCTAGTTTGATTTTGTGCATCTGTTAAAAAAAATGTAGTTCACTCGTAACCAAAGAAAGTGTAAAATTTGAGTTTTGTTATTTTTATAGGAAATATACTTTGATTTTGATATTAACTGAAGTTTTATCTTCACTTCTGCGAAGAGTTCATTGAAATCCAATAAGAAATCTTATGAAAAATGATACCTACCATGGGTGACTTTGATAATCCATAAAAACTTGTGTATTATCAAAGACGCCCCAAGCGCACATGACATTGATAAAAAAAATATATTGAGACTGATGGAATATGGATTACATTGATAACTCTCGGACCCGAAGCATTCGTTGTAATGCAAAAGCACAGTGCCTATCAAAGTCACCCCAATTTGAGTATAACTTTGATAACAAAGTTATTATTATTTTAGAGCAAGTATAAAATTATTTCAATCATTTTTCAACCCTATATGTCTTCATTAGGCATAGTGCAATCAAATAAACAAAAATTGTGAGCAAAAATGAGTTTAGTTTTTGTGTGATCCACGATTTGCTCAAAAAAACCTATCAATGTCACCCCATTTGACGGCACTTCTAATATGGCGTAACACACCAAACAAAACAGAGTCAAGTCCCAACCAAAGACTATTTTCCAGAAGAACAAGATCAGATATTCCAGCTGCCAAGTTTTTATACAAACTATCAGTATTACAGCATGTACCAGAAAAATTTGAAGAACTGAGATCGAAGGCAAAAACATATTATGACAATACCAGTAGAGAATTGGCAGAGCTGAAAGAAAATGATCTAGTTTATTTCAAGAAGAATGTACATTCAGAAATTTGGCTTCCTGGTAAAATCTTGGAACGATATGATTCCTGATCTTATGTAATTTTATATAATGAGAAAGAAAACAGGAGAAGCCGTGTACACATAAAATATTCCAATAACTATACGGCATCACACAGAAATATAGAGCGTAACAGTGTTGAAGAAACATTCCCACCGAAAGTTCAAGAGATGGATGAGAACGAAAAGGACACGAGCGAAACCAACATGTGTTCACCAGAAGAAATGAATGACGATAAATCTAAAATTGAAAATGAATCTGAAGCAGATAATCAAGAGGATACATCTTCAAATAATAGACCCAGCCGCTCAAGAAGAATACCTGAACGGCAGATAATCAAGAGGATACATCTTCAAACAATAGACCCAGCCGCTCAAGAAGAATACCTGAACGATTTAAAGATTTCGTTTTATAAAAAGAAGAGGATGTTATATTATTGTTAATTGTTATTTACCTATATTTGTTAATGTTTGAAAACACCTTGTAAAATGAGGAACACAATCAAAAACATGTCATGTCAGTGAGACATTGTCAGACAGACAATATATAGACTGGAATCACCGAAGTGTTTCAATAACTAGTTCATCTATTAAACATATTAAAACAGTAGCAACAGTGCAGAAAGGTACAGGAGGTATACCTACCTCGGTACCTACAATAAAAACCAGGAGTCAATGTTATTGAATCGACCTGGAATCAATAAGGAGCCAAGGGAGTGTAGGCTTTAATTAAAAACCCTGGGTTTAGCCTGGAATACTGGTTGCTATTTTTATTCTGGATAATTACCGGAATCGAAGCAAATATCTTTTGGTTCGCTGGTATTCTCAGGTTAGGCCTGGAGAATTATTCATTCAGACTATTTCATAAAGTTTACCTGGAGAATCGGAAACGCAGTTCCGAACGAATTAAACTGATTCAATTCCTATTTATCTTTCCTTTTCCTTCGCTTTTCTAATTTTCCAATATCGGAATTTTAGTGAGGTTGATTATATTGTCCTATTCATGTCAAAATTTCATTAACCACCGGCCACAGCCCGACAGGATACCAAGCACAGGGACACGGGTGCACAGGACAGGATTTCTCAAGGAAAAGAAGGGGAAGAAGAATTGACAACTGGCTTGTCAGTGTCAGTCGTCAGTCAATAATAATAATAAGCAATTTGACAAATGAAAATATTGGAAATTATTAAATTAATTACTGGAACTGAAAACAATAGCAACAGAGAAACCGATTTCGGCTATGAGAGAGAAATATGAAATATGCCATCACAAAAAAACCGTTTATTCGCAAATACAACTTCCTGGATTCGTTACAGAGGTCGGGTGAGTATCGGTATGAAAAACAACAGGAATGAAATGAATCTATGAACAGGATGAATACTTATGGTGGAAAATATTGAACAAACTTACATGTGCAACAGGAAATCACTATACATTAATACTTCACACTGGTTTTGAATGAATCATGAGAGCACTAAGAGATCAGCAAAAGAACCAATAGCTTGAAGAGCAGAGAGTGTATAACGTGGAATAGGAAGTGTAGACTTGTAGAGGAGAGAGAAGACAGCGATCCCTTAGCCGTCTTCAGTATTCATACTTTCCATCGACCTCCGTCCAAGGACAGGTCAATCCTAGAATATTATTGGTCGGAATCCTCAACTATGCCAGCAGGAACTATCATCCAGAAGCACAAGTTCCAAAAATGTGGATAAAATGATATTTAACCCTAAATGAACACAGGAATAGAATCTACTACCCTTGTTAATGCTACTGAGGGAATTTGACTGGAAAATATGCAATAACAACAAAGTTATGACCAGGTAAACATTCATCATTTCAACTGATGAGTAATTCATCTAAATTTCATATCAGAAGTAAAGGGTCGAAACATATTGAAGTCTTTAGGGTTGTAATGATGTTTCTCAGAGTTTACTATCAGGAAAAGCTTTGGAAAGTCAGGTATCAATGAATTACTCAGCTCTCTCAGGTTTTCAGGTTTCGAGCTCTCGAACAAGTGAAATTCAACTAAAATCAGTCTCAGGTACTTAGATAATAATCAAAACCAGTCTAGTAATGGAATTGGTTGAAAAACACTTCATTACAGGATTCAGGACACGTTTCATTACGACACTAGAATCACACCGCCACTGCCGTCCTTATACGGATTCCAGAAGTATCTTCAGTTGGGTGTAGGATATTTCGGTATTTTTTACTAGGCCGTACTCGTGCCTGTGACGTAGACACGTTTCACTAAGACACTAGAATCACACCGCCCCCGCGGCACTTCTACTTATTCCAGAAGTATCTTCAGTTCGGTGTATCTTAGGGGTAAAATAATTCCCTTTGCTTCATTTCTTCCAGAAATGGGTGATTCTTGCATAGAACCTAGGAATGTTTCCGGAAAGGACGACGGCAAATGTGGCCACAGCGTTCGCACTCGCGTGACTCAGGAGGATCTGTTTTTTTCCGGAGTTTCGGTTGATTCTTGCATTTGAAATGAATGAATGAGACAAATTGTGACACACTTCTTTAATTGTAAAGTGATGTTTATCGAATGACTTCTGCTGTCAGTCTCTGTTTTTCTCTATATATTATTATAAAGTGCGTTTTGTTGATAGCCTGTGGAATAGAATAGAATGGTCGTGCAAGAAAACGAATTCCCCCCGAATAATAGAATACAATGATTGTTCAAGAAAACGAAAATTTCATGTTGGTAACCTCACTTTTTGAAATTGTGGCAAAATTTGAAAATGTTCAGCAAATGAAATATGTATTAATTTCCTCATGTAAAAGCATTCTTTGCATGGATTCAACTTCACTTTATTAGAAATGATAACAGACAATAACCAGCCATTTTGTTCGATTTCCCTTCTTGTCATCATATTTCGTCGTTCTGTTCGATTAAAATATATCGAGCAGCCAGAGCAAATAAATTTTGAAATTGTTGGTGCGACTTCATATCAAGAAAACGCATGGAACAGCTGTTACAGACTTAGGTTGGGGCCAACAAAACGCATCAATACAGTGATATTCTCGAACCACTTGACCGCCCAGTCGACGACAGGTGCAGGATATTTCGGTATTTTCAACTAGGCCTGTGATGCTAGACACGTTTCACTACGACATTACCACTTCACTACCACACCGTTCCTCTAGTGATTCCAGAATCATCTCCAGGCCTGTTCTAGATATCTCAGTATTTTCTACACGGCCGTACTAGAGCCTGTGATTCTAGACACGTTTCACTACGATACTAGAATCACACCGCCCCAGCCATTCCTCTATTGATTCCAGTTATATCTTCGTTCCTTTTCCGAGTATTTCCGTATTATTTAAAAAGCCGTACTAGAACCTGTGAATCTAGATACGTTCCACTACGATACTAGAATCACCGCCTCCGCTGCTCCTGTGTGATTCTGGAATCACCCTCAGACCAGTATCGTATAATCTGGTATTCTCTACGAGGTCGTTCTAATACCTCTGTAGAGCATTCTTTCTCTTAATGAAAATTGTTTCGATTTGCCGGAACAGTGGCAGTTAGGTTTATCCATAGATCAAAGAGATCAATCCAAGCCACTCGGATCACGTTGTCATCTTCGAGCGTTTTTGGGATTATCTATGGAGTGGAACAGGATGCTGATTTGGAATTGCTACAGCCACGAAGCCACTGGAAGGAAGAGTATCCAGAAGAGCCGCGAATGATATAAATCGAATAATTAGAGTAAACCTCAATATTGTTGGAATAGGAAATAAATTCAATCATCTAAAGTTCACATCTAGTCTTTTGATTTAATCAAATCTGACAGTTAATTAAAGAGAACCTGAATCCTAGATGTTCTCATCTGTGCTGATCTAATCCTGCAGACAAAACGTCACATCCTAGTAATACTCTTTTTACCAACTTTGACTGAGATTAACCAAGATTCTCAGTGCAGCTCAATAGCTCAGTTGCATAACATGTTTCATTTTTCTTGGTCTTATGTGAGTTGTCTTACGAACATATTGAGACTGAATAAATTTAAGTTCTTTTGTGGTTCTGTGCTGAAAATTGTGAGGTTATATTTTTATTTTGACATGCTTTCAGCTCTGAAG